CCTGTCAAGGGCTTCATAGACGTTTTCCCTTATTTTTTTTACTTTCCAGTCAACTCGGTATTTACACTTTCATGATCGACCACTGTTCCCCAACAAATTTGGTTCAGGGTTGTTGCTTCAACCTTCTATTCCTACACAGTTGAGGTTTGATTCTATATCCCCTAATGAATCATACTTTTTTTAGTTTATGTCTGCTCTGCGGCTTTTAGTTTCACTTCAGAAATGGACCTCAAAGTTATTTTTATGAACTTGATCTAGTTTTTAACATATTTTTTCTTTATTTTCAGAACGTGGAGACCGAGTGACAGATATAGTTGTCGCTATGTTCCTGATGAATATCTTCATTGATAATGGTGTATTCTCCCGCGAAGGTAGTTTGGATACTTTTCGCAAAATTCGGAGCAAGAAGATAACAGTCCTGCAACACGCGAAGAGAGGAAGATTGCTGCGAGGTTCGCTTTTATACTTCGTGCATCGCTGGATCGATATTGTAAAGGGGAAAGATTGGAATCGGATGCCCCAAACGAATCGGAGTGGGATTATTGCAATAACGAGGATGAAGACAGCTCGGGCAAGGCAAGGCAGACAAGCCATGGAGTGGTAGACGTATCAAATTAGCTCTGTTCTTTCTAACTGAACGCTGGGTGTAGAAGAAAGTACGCACGAAGTTACTTCATCTCAACTCACACAACAAACGTCAATGGTATTAGCATAGCTGTGATTAGGTGCTTATTCAAATAAATGTCAAAAACTAGAATAGAAGTCTCTACTGGGTACGGAACATGATTTGCAAAAACGCGACCGCAGCGGGAACCGAACCCATGACCTGCATGATGATGAGCGAGAGCCTTACCACTACACCACGGCAACACAGTTTCGCTAACACTAGCGAGCCTCATCCAAAGCGCTCATTTGCAGCCAACTTCGACTGCTCGTAACTTCCTTGGCAGAATCGTTTTGCAATTTTGGGTTCCGCAGTTCTAACCAGTGTCCCAGGCTCTATCGATATGTCTAGGTCTCGATTCAAAGTTCCACGGGGAGTTCAATGCCTTCCCTGGTAAGGCCCATACAGCTTTTCAATGCATTAGTAGCATTTTAGGATCCCATCTAGGGTTGAAGCTTCAAATAAGTGCGGCGGTAGAAAAAATCCAGATGATCGAGGCAAATTTATTATAATGAAAGAAGGAGAAATGAGCCAAGGCACAGAGAAAAAAAAACTAAACAAAAAGCGGGGAAGCAGAGAGAAGGAAGAAATATATAAACAGGATTTAGAAAGCTTCCAAATCCAGCAGAGCAGACATAAACTTCAAGAGTACGAAAGAAAATGTACCTTCTTTTCCGCCAATTTTCGATATTCTTCCATATGAGCGAGATTCATTATAGCATTGTGTCTGGAAGGAATAGGTTCAAACTTCAAACCATTTTGTGAGCATAAGGAAAACCATTGAAATCATTACAAGCATTTAAAAATCTGCCAACATTCTGGACTAGGCAAAAGTGAGCGAGTAAATCAAACGAACGGACTTATGTCGTCATCATATCGCGGTAGCCTGCTGCAGATGGTAATCAAATCAATCATACCTTCGCCGTAACGCTTGCATTCAGACTAATTTCACAGGACTGGGGAAAAAGATACATAAGATAAGAAAGATACAAATGTAGAGCAGTGGCAAGTGGCGCTGTTTATCACGTAAACTGTCGTGGATTTAATCCCATCCGGATCCCACCCAGGTCAAGCGAGCCTTCCATTTTTCCGAGATACCCGATCCGAGATAATTGATAATATATCCAGCCTACTGCGAAAAAGAAGCGCTGTTCTCACATCGACCGGAGATCGCAT